TCACGAGAGCCGAATGGTATATAGACTATAGGCTAGTTCTGTATGCCCAACATGTCTAAGGGCGTGACAGATGATTCTTTTCTCTGCTATTCTATAACACAGATGCAGCATTTGTGACTCAAACGTTTTCAGCTAAGACTGCTGTCTATGGGAAGTTGACATGTCGTTGTTCGCCCATAATGACTGAGATTACCTATCTAAACAGGGAGCAGCCAAAAGTTAATATAATTAGGTTACAAAAAAAAAAAAAAAAACTACTGGACCATGCGTGTAAATAAATTACACACGGTCACAAACAGTTTTACACAAAATCGCACCCTAGCGCATACAATTATACACATCTATTACATGCATTTTATGTACCCATTTCGGACGAATGCTGTGATAAGTGCCTTCAATGGTTCGAATTAGTATCGAAGTAACTTTGTTGTTAGGTTAAGACTAACTCTAGCTCACAGTTGCTTTCTATCAAACCTTTTTTTTTTTTTTTTTGCTTTTGCATATCCTATCTAATCTGAATATTTATCTCTCTATTGTTGCTTAGTTGAGGAACACGCCTTTTTTTTTTTTTTTTTACTTTTCCTAGCAAAAAAATCTAGCATTTCTCCAGTGACGCTGAAAATTTCTCCAGGGATGTTTAGAATTTCTCCAATGATGTTGAGAATTTCTCCATTGATGTTAAAAATTTTTCCAGGGATGTTAAAAATGTCTCCAGTGATGTTGATAATGTGTCCAGTAGGGTTGAGAATTTCTCCAGTGATGTTAAGAATTTATCCAGTGATGTTGAGAATTTCTCCAGTGACGTTGAGAATTGCTCCAGTGACATTGATAATTTCTCCAGGGACGTTGAGAATTTCTCCAGTGACGTTGAGAATTGCTCCAGTGACATCGATAATTTCTCTAGTGAACTTGAGAATTTCTCCAGTGACGTTGAGAATTGCTCCAGTGACATCGATAATTTCTCCAGTGACTTTGAGAATTTTTCAAGTGACGTTGAGAATTTGTTTAGTGACGTTGAGAATTTATCTAGTGACGTTGAAGTTTCTCGAGTAAACCCCTGTTGTTTTCATTTTTAATATATCCCAGTAATTTCTCGTGCTGTCTCATTCATTATTATTTTGCTGCCGTTTCTACGCTGTCCATATTGGAATTCAGGGAAGAAAACTTTCCTACAATACTGACCCTGTAATGGTAACTAGCGTCGTGTATACTTCCCATTTGATTGTAATTAATTCACGATTTCATCAGAATGGTGAATATTGAATTAGGAATCGACGTCATAGCACTCGGTACACGCCCATAAGCGCTCAGTCCTCATCTCCCTTGAGTGTTGAGCGTCGGTCGAAAAAACATTTTCAATGGATTTTTTACTTAATAATAAAAAGAAAAATTGTCAGAGCCACGGAGTGCGTGCTCTGTGCTTGATACCATCTTCAAGAGGCAACAAAGAGAGCTGGAAGACGAGAAGACGATTTACTGTATTGTTACTTCACTTCAGTTATCACCAGTTAGAACTATATGGTTCCCAAAGAATATGGTGATCATATACGCCCAGACTCTCTCGTCATAACTCTACAATGAAAAATTCAATTTCACTAATAGACGCTGACTACATTAAAAAAAAACCAACAATACCATCCAGGTGAAACGGGACTTAATGTTTATACGTTATCCTACCAAGGAGTTAGGAGAGAGCTTACACATTAAGCGGTAAGTTAGGTGCCCACATGAATCCTGCTTTTGCCAGTGGCACATCGAGCATAGGTGCTATGCTAAAATCTGCACGTACCAATATTTTTTGTCCTGGTACGTATGATACGTCAGTTGTCATTTACCCGTAAGAAAGGAAATCTGAGAGCTCTCTGCATAGCCGAAACACATTACGTGATATCAAGGCGTATTCTTCTGGTTTAGTTTAGTTTTGTTTGCATAATATGTGTTTCGCTAACTCTAACCCTAAACAAAATACAGAAAGGTAATCCTAACCCGTGCTTAATATGCATATCCTAAATAGAGCTAACATGATTGTTTGGAGTAAATAAAACTTGAAGTACCGTACGTGTTTTAGGCTAGGTTCGTTATAGATCTAGGGAAATTTTTTCTTCCACATACTCCTAGATCCAGAGAACTATGCCGGCGGTAGCATAGCTACCAGCAGGGCCTCCCAAGCCGGAAAGGTCGAAGGGTAGAGAACACACAAAGGGAGACACCCTAGTCCTCCAGGTTGGGGGTTGAAGCGTGGGGCCGACACCGCCACCTTCGTAAAACTTCATTTCGTCACGAAGCAGATATCTAAGCCTCGATTTCGGATGGAAATGAGTGGAGGCGAGTGTTTTTGTAGCAATAAACCGCAAGGGCTCAGAATCCGGGAGAAAAACACCAACCAGAAAGATTAGTGGAGGCGGGTGATATCTGCAGCAATGAACCTCAAGGGCTCGGAACGCTGAAAAATAATAATAATAATAATAATAATAATAATAACAAGAAGAAGAAGAAGAAGAAGAAGAAGAAGAAGAAGAAGAAGAAGAGGAAGAAGAAGATACTCCTAGTGCGGAATCGAATCCAAAAGTTGGGGCTCACAGATGAACGCGTTACGTTTAGTGGAATGGTTCGAATCGTGATGAACATAATATATAAATGTATGTATACCTTCCGTGTTTCTAAGCTAGGTAAGCTATAGGCAGGTATGAAGTCCCTGTTTAAAGACATAAACCTATCATGCAGCGAACAATTGAAATCAAATACTGACATGTCATTTATAACTTAACAGCATAACATTTACAGCAGACAAACATAATTTATTATTTATGCATGTGTAGTTGTAATTATTTAGTTTTCTTGATGCATTTAATAAATAACCGGATGACATAATAACTAGGGCTGTATCGAATATTCGCTTCGTTTTCGCTTCGGGGCCGAATAGTGGACCTATTGACTATTCGGTATTCGGCCGAATAGTTGCGGTCGGGCCTAATACGAATAGCAGTTACCTTAAACCTGCTTCTGCATACACGGCCTTAATACTGACAACATGGAACAATTGGTTTTGTTGAAAGCTTTCCTGCATTAACTAAGCTGTCAGTGACAATGTCCATGTTTAGTTACTTGTTTTAATACTTAGGATTCTTTAGGTTATTAGCTACCACAGACTGACTGAAGAATGCAAAACATAAAATGTTTTTAAATGTTTATTATTCTCTACGAATACTAACTAGACATGGAAAGAATATAAACTCCGGCCACATCCAAGACGATAATATTAAAATCAAACAAACGAAAACCTATAAGTACTCAGGTGCGAACTTCAACTGCCCCAACATGCTGAGAGAAGAAATACAATCTAGAATACAATCTAGAAATAAAGTACACTATGCCCCTCAACATCTGCTAAAGTCAAAGTCTCTGTCTCGCAACACCAAGATCCAAAAAATATGAAACGTTGTTAAGACCAGTCGTTTTATGTGGCTCTGAAACTTGAAGCAGAAATAAAAGAGATGAGGCCTTAGTATAGGTTTTCGAAAACAGTCAAAGATGCTAACAGCGGGGCGTGGAGAGTGAGAAGCAACAACGTAACGCATAATCTGTTTAAATCACCATTGATCACTGGCATCATGAGAGCTAAAAGACTAAAATGGTTGGGGCATATTGAAAGAATGTCAGATGACAGAGAAGTAAAAACTGTACACACATGAGAGAGGAATGGGCGTAGACCAGGAGGCAGACAAAAAAGAAGTTTGAGAGATACTGTCCAGCCAGACCTGCAAACAACTGGTGTCACAAATTGTGAAGATAAGGCCAGCCAGATAAATGAATGGAGACAAGTGATATCTGCAAACAGTAAACCTCAAGGGCTCAAAATGCTAAAGAAGAAGATGACTATTCTGTACTACTTTAAATGAACTAAAAGTTCAGCGTACATTTGACATTATAAATGTTATTTTTTTTCTAATAGATATATTTTATTCACTATTCGTATTCGGCCGAATAGTTCGTCCCGCTATTCTTATTCGGCCGAATAGTGAAAATTACTATTCGGTACAGCCCTAATAATAACTGGAAGCAATAGTTAAATAAAGTCGACTGGTAATATTAACTTTATGAAATAGTTAGCACTGGTTTATCAACAAAAAATGAACTTCTCCAAAACGAAAAAAAAAATTATATGATAAACAGTGTAGTCCCTAAAACTAATTATGGGAGCCATTAAAGTACATCGACATAGTCACCCCGACCCCCTCTCCGGCCCTCCTGTCTCTGGGGGGGGGGGGGGGTGGGGGTGGGTTCCAGTCCACTTCGGGACACATTTTGACTATTGTTTGGGGCTTCCATATGGAAACAGATTACAACTGATACAAGACACATCGCGGGAAGCATGTTTTTTGAAGCAATATTTGACGACATGACGCTCAAGTTCCAGTTGATCTAATAAACAGTGTTACTGTTCCCTCCAGAAATTTCTGTTTGACAAAGTTTGCTGTGTTATTGTCAAAGCCGAGGTTTGAACTTCAGTGCAGTCGGGTCACTCCATACTTGCAACGTTCGTGTGCCAGGACAATTCAAACGAAATGTCTTCGATTGTTCTGTTTGTAAACTTTTGAACAACCCGAATTTGTCGTGGCTCAGTAAATGAATAAGGTTAATGCATAAGGCAGTTGCTAGAGGTGCTGAAACCAACAGTGCCAGTAGAAGTGCAATTTACAGTTGTTGGAAGTAGTCAGATAAGCTGGCTACATACAGGCAACATTGTTACATAAGATATTTTGCCAGCCCACACGAGACAGCCGCCTTACACAAGAAAGACATTCCACACGAGAGAAAAATGCAGCTCAGAGTGTTGTACCAAGCACTAAAGTCAGTATCTTAGACAGGGAAACTGTTGACTTCTGTCCATATGTGGAAACTGCATTAGCAAAGCGTTGGCAGGAGCAAAAATAACTTAGTAGTTAAACATTCTACTATGCATATCTTACATTCTAAGCCTTAAGCGAGAGGCAAAATGATTACATCTGTGGGCATCCAGGACTCAATTCTACTAAGAAATTGTAAATACTGACGATTCCACACATTCCACTCATATCGACATAGGGTGCAATTTTCCCTACACCCTTCTCCAGACAAGTACAAACCAATTCAGGATTATAGCTAAGACTGATATAAGATATGCTTGTTAAATGCGCCAGGGTCAATGGTAGACGGGTTAATTTCGTGTCCTGCATTGTCAGACTCTCTAGAGAATGTAGATTTTTGAAAGCCAGACTAGAAATTGATTTGATTGGATTGTTATCCAGGGTTAAGAATAGAAGGGACGAGTTAGCAGGAAAGCTGGTGTCAGTTAACTCTGTTATGAGGTTGTATTCAAGATCTAGATTAACTACCCAGTAAGGAATGTCTGTGTCCTGCAGTCTGTGAATAAGGTTATGGGGCAATAACATGATTGTCACTGATTTTAGACTTCTGTAAATAACAGGTACAGACTGAAGTAGGTTGTAGCTGAAGTCAGCTGACGAGACAATTTCGCTACCAGCGCCTGAATTTGGATCGGATATTTGATTGTTAGAGAAATCATAGGCATTTAGCTGTGACAGAAATGACAAATCGGGTATTGCGCTGAGATGGTTAAATGACAGAGATAGGGAATTCAAAGAGTCTGAGAAAGGACGAAGAACGTTGCTGAGATGATTTGCGTCAAAGATGTGGTTATTATTTAAAGTCAAAATGGATAATTTGTTGGACTGTGGAAGCCCGGTTAAGTTAGAGATTTTGTTGTACTGCATATCCAAAGATGTCAAATTCTTCAAACTAAACAGTTATTTTGGAGTAGCTGTGAAGTTATTGTGACTCAGTGTTAATATATGGATGCTGTTGAACAGTTTATCGAAAGCGTTATCTGGAATAGAAGAGATGGCGTTGTTAGAAAGGTCTAACTCATTCAAGTGTTCACAGTGTGCGATCCAGTCCACCCATGTTCTAAGCCCCAAGTTTTTAAGTCTCAGTACTTGTAGTGTTTCACCAATATGCCCCATGGCGCCCACGTTCCAGTCAGAAATGTTTGTATTAGATATATCTAAGTCCTGCAGGGAATTCAAGTGAAGAAATGCATCAGGGATTCTCGACAACAAGGCATAACTGAAAGATAGTGACTGCAGCGTTGTTGAAATATCGTCAAAGGCGTTGTCGTCTATAGTTGTAATGGGGTTGTAGTTCAGCGATAGTGCCGTTAGGCCGGGAGGTAGACTGCCCGATGATACTTCAGTGATGTTATTTGACTGGTGAGTAAATAAACATATGAGCAAGCGTTATTCAATCTTGCCTCGAAGATGGGGAAAAGCTCATATTCTTTTAAAAAAACTATATTATAGTCTAGTAAAGTAACAGCAAAAGATATAAACCCGAAAGAAAAGTATATTAGCAAGCTTCAAAATATAACAAATACAAGCAAAACGTGAACGTTGCGGCTATTGAACATTTATCAGCACATACAAATTAAACAATACTACATAGATACATAAAATCACTTAGCTGGTATCTCGATGCGGCCAGGTCGGTTGTTACTCAGCAGAATGACCACACGTGTCAGCTGTGGGAATAAATACCCCCCCCCCCCCTTTCTCTCTCTCTCTCTCTCTCTCTCTCTCTCTCTCTCTCTCTCTCTCTGTGGAGTATCAGGGGACATAACTGGGGTATAGGGATTAAAACTGTGAGGGAAGTTCAATCCCCTGGAAGTTTAAATGAAACTGTGTTGGCAATTAATTTAGGAGGGCGTCAAAGTGCCCAGAGTATAAATAAAACGATTATCAAGAGACTTGCGGACTCTGTCGCTAGAATGGCTAGATTTTTGGCTGTCACCTCCATGTCGTGGACACCTTGGTGATCCTGGGAATTGAAGTGCAACGGTACTGGTTTCAGGGCACCATTTTGTACATCCAAAAGATGTTGTCTGAACCTGTCAGCCAGCCGTAGACCTGTTTAACTAAGTAAAGTAACGTCCGTTTTCACGCCACTGGCACATTTCGTGTATGAGGCTAGACTTATTTTATATATAAATATTGATGGATAATGTGTTAAACATTCGAGAGCCACCATTACTTTCTAAGACTTTACCTTGTGCCCATTTAGGACTGAGTCGTCCTGGGAGCCGAGGTCACAATTAAAAGAAAAACTCCGGTTCCAAGGTGATTCGAAACCGCGACCTTTGGTTCGGCAGGCGAGAGTTTATTCGCTATGCCAGGGAAACTCCCAAGTAGAGACATTAAAAGATCATTTTCAGCATGCTTAACATTGTATTGTTTTTCAGCTCCCATTATTTCATGTGGCGGCTGTAAATATGTGAATACACTGCTATCTCATGGGGTATTGGATGGTGAGGATCTCACCTCATCCCAAGGTGCTTTATTAATATCCTACCCCAAACAATGGCAATCCACAGGTCACGGGACAGTCTAATATTTCAGGGGGTGGTAGGTAGGCTGCATGCAGTCGTGGGACCTAGAATGCACTCTCGCGTGAAACGTAGGTATGTTGGAGTTAGGGCCAGTTCTAGATGTTTTGGGGTCTTTAAAAGCATCAGAAAGCCGGGAAACCTAGTCTTACCACCCTCTAACATGTTGGTTGGACTGTCTTGTGAAGCCATCTGGAATAGGATAAGAATTAAGAACCCATCCCACTGTGCCGCTCACTTACCACGGTCTGAAAGCCATGAGAAGCAACCGTATCTAAAATTCAATAAGCCGAAATCAACCACGCGTACTCTGTAAATTCTAAAGTACACTCAGGCACGTCTCAGCATTGTCCACATATGTTTCTTTACGTTTTGCCTGAGAGTGATGAAGTGAACTGAATATTAGGTTGCCACATTTTACAAGTCGGCATGTTTGCAAACGGTGTCTGGGCTTAGGCGTTGCGAGTCAGACTTGTAATTCCAACGTGCCAAGATCAAAACACACTGCTGGCTGCGTGAATTTTTATCACGGTATGGGGCGTCGCAGGTCGACCTAACCTTAAAGTGGTACCGCGATGTATGTCTTGGGGAAGTAAAGACGGCCGGCGTAATGCTGACTTTACCCACCTAGTGTCGATGTGTCTGGGAAAAAATAAAAGTGCTCTTCCCATATGCCCGATGCACCTAAAGGCGTGAAAAGGGATCTTCACTTTTTTAAAATATGTTCGCTAAGACATTGCGAACGCGCTTTATAATTCCGCAGTGCTGGGTTTGATCTCAGCTGCAAATAATTTGGCAGCAAACCTCCTTGTGTTGATTTCACAAATGGAATCGATGTTAAGAATTCAATGGCAACACACTGTCTAGTAACATCATCAAGAGCCAAACAATGCTGGGGTTGGTTCTGCAAAGTCCTGTAAAGGATAGGCAACTAACTTTTCTTTACGTCGTAGTCAGAATAAGAGAGTTGATAAAAGACATCTCTTTCGAAGCTAACCAGTCATCCCCTTGTGGTATGCAATTTTTCGTTTTTTTTTAAAGCCCCCCCCCCCCCCTCCATCCCCGGGCTCTTGCCAGGGACCGCAATATAGCCCAGCCATAAATATGGCCTAATGGCTGAACGCGGTTTCTGGACCTCTCCACGGGTGACCCTCATCCACATGGAGGCACTTTGTGTCATCGTGTGTTTATCGCTTGTGTGAGGTCCTAGTGGGGTAAAATGTACTACTACTCCTACATCTCTTTCGAAGACATGTAATTGTAGATTAGTGGTTAAGTTAAATTTATCTCCTTTGTTGCATATAAGTTAAGTTTTCATCTGTAAATGTTTGAGTCTATCCTAACAAATCTGAAGCCCTTATAACATTATTTACATTTTACATACTCACATCTAGGTACAGAGAGATGTAGCCTGTACAGTTGCTACTCTGGCAGATTGGTACAGAGTTGAATCCAGCTCCTGAACAGTAAATAGATGTTTCAAAACAGTCGCATTCCTGAAATATGGTGTCAGATGTACACTTCGGATTGTTTTAAGTTTCTGTATGTTATACACTATATGTAGAATCCATGGCATATGTTATGTTTTACATTTAAAGTAAGCGATGCATGAAATATCTTAAATCGGAGGGAAGAATGTGCGTCACATCTTTCACCGAGGCCGAAAAATTTGTCATATCTTTTGTCTAGACTAGAAAATGTGTGTCTTATCACACATGATACATAGACTAGATCATGTGTGTCATATCTTTCGACTAGACTAGAAAATGTGTGTCATATCTTACATCTAGACTGCAAAATATGTCATATCGTATGTCTAGACAAGAACATGTGTGTCATATCTTACGTCTAGACTAGAACATGTGTGTCACATCTTACGTCTAGACTAGAACATGTGTGTCACATCTTACGTCTAGACTGGAAAATGTGTCATATCTTATGTATAGACTGGAAAATATGTATCATATCTTACGTCTAGACTGGAAAAGATGTATCATATCTTACATCTAGACTGGAAAATGTGTGTCATATCTTACGTTTAGACTGGAAAATATGTCATATCTTACGTCTAGACAAGAACATGTGTGTCATATCTTACATCTAGACTGGAAAATATGTCATATCTTACGTCTAGACAAGAACGTGTGTGTCATATCTTACTTTAGACTGGCAAATATGTCATATCTTACGTCTAAGCTAGAACATGTGTGTCATATCTTACGTATAGACTAGAACATGTGTGTCACATCTTACGTCTAGACTGGAAAATGTGTCATATCTTACGTATAGACTAGAACATGTGTGTCATATCTTACGTCTAGACTGGCAAATATGTCATATCTTACGTCTAAGCTAGAACATGTGTGTCACTTCTTACGTCTAGATTAGAACATGTGTGTTACATCTTGCATCTAGACTGGAAAATGTGTCATATCTTACGTGTAGACTAGAAAATGTGTGTCATATCTTACGTATAGACAAGAAAATGTGTGTCATATCTTACGTATAGACTTGAAAATGTGTCATATCTTACGTATAGACTGGAAAATGTGTGTCATATCTTACGTTTAGACTGGAAAATGTGTCTTGTGTCTTTCGTCTAGAGTGAATTATGTGTACAATAGCCTTCGTCTAGTGGGAATGAGTTGTAATATATCCGTGTTATACTCTTTTTTTTTTTTTTTTAGCCTACATTCAGAGTGAAAAAAAAAAAAAAGTAAATGCTGTATGTTTGTTGTGTCTCACATTTATTTTAAATGATGTATGCTTGTTACATCTAACATACAGAATAAAAAGCGTACGAAGTATCTATCAGGCATTGACAATTAGTAGAGACCAGTATATACACTTTCGTACTTCAACGAAAATCATTTTCTTGTGCCTCCTAGCATAGTTTAATTATTATTTGTTCTGCTTCAAATGTTTTCTTGCACCTTCTGGTACACTTTTATTTCAGCAGATTTTTGTACTTGTGTATACTTACATGTTCTTATACAAGTGTGTTACTACGTGTGCTTGTACAATAGCCCTCTAAACTATTCTTGCACTATTTTATATTACATGTTCTTGTGCAATCATATTCTTACAAGTTTTTGCAGTTATATTTCTTACAAGTCTTTATACGACTGCATTCTTTTATGTTATTGTATAATATCAGTCTTCCGTTTCTTGTGCAAGCGAATTCTTTCATGTTCTAGAAAAAAGGCATTGTTTTGCAAGTTTTAACGCGGATGCTTTGCTACATGTGTCAACTATCTCATTTCTCCTTTGTGATTCCGAATTCGAGCCTCACATATATGCCTTTTGATGCAAATATGTGAGCGTGGTGTGTGGGGG